CTCACTGTTACTACAATTATTGTGGCACATTCAGTGCAGAGATGATTTGGGGACCCGTGACTTGAAGATACTGCAGACAGACAGTTAAAGAGGTGTGGGCATGACAGTCCTCCAGCAGGCATGGCTGCTCAGAGGAGTAAAAGCAGCTTTTCCTGTCTTTTCTGAGTGATCTAAGAAAAAAAACATACAAGTCTCATAGTACAAACCTGTCAGTCATGCTTGGATGGCCTCCAGTTAGATTTGTATCACTGGGATGTAGGATTTTAAGGGGATTCTACTCTACAGGTTTGTAGTGTTCTACAAATATGTTATAATTCTTGGACTAATTATTGGTCTTAGAATTAATTCTTATAAAAATAGCTTATAATTCTAGATGCTAAAATATACTGCCTCTGTTCAAGTTGCTGATGTTACATTTAAATGGCAAGAATAGTGAAATGCTGAGTTTTCAAGTCCCACAGGGAGGGAACCTGCAGGTTCAACCCCATGTCCTAGAAATGACGTGTCTATTGGATTATGTTCAGAGGCAACATTTTATTTAAATGGACAAATAACTGAAGCAGCACAGTCACCAGGAGGTGGTCGTGCAGAGCACACAAGTCACACCAGAGACTGGGGTTTGCATCCAGAGTCCCACATGAGGTTAGGTTTAAGTGACAAAAGCACTTGGGTTAATATTAGAGAAGGCAAAAGTCCGAAAAAGGATCCGCACACTGTGCTAAAAGTTCCCGACAATTTTAATGAAAAGCAGAACAGGCATTATATAGACTGAAAGAGATTTATATTTGACTTTTGACACAGTATTTTGTATGTGTCTATATGAACTTTGGCCTTTGTTTCAAGTCGATTGTGTCTTTTCTATAGAGGCATGTCCCATCCACCATGTGGTAGGATCAGTGGTTTTTCAGCTCTGCTCTGATTGGTTCAGCCTGAGGGCAGTTTGACTCTCAATCATGTAGATCACAATCACCTGTGTGATGACTTTGTTTGTGTCTATACAATGCCCGTTCTGCTTTGTGATTTGACAGTGTCTGACAAAGACACCTATAGATCGAAACGTTGCTTTATTAAATTAGCTGGGAGCAATTAGTGCAGTGTGCGGATCCTTTTTTCTTTTGCCTTTAGTTTCTTCTTTTTGATCCAGCACCTGTGAAAGTCCCTTTAGATGTCCGTGCTGGACACCCTGTTTGTCCTTAATATTAGAGAAGGATCATAGTTTTAGATACATGCAAATAAACACAATCTGTCTCGTTACTGAAGGTTTTCAGTCCTTTATAAATATGTGATGATACCTACTTACAGTCAGTGATAGAATGTACAAAGTTAAGAGCCATAAAGAAGAAAATGTGATGTTCGTTGGATGAACAAACAGGAAACAGCTACTTCATGCATTTTTTTCAGATGGTAACTAAATTAATATTATTGCTGTGGCTTCATTACCTCTCACTTATATAAAAAACTAATGCTGTATATTTAGTATAAACTGTATATTGGCACTTTCAATCTATAGGTACTCCTGCAGAGGTGCATATTGTGAAACTGCACTTATGCTTTTCTCAAGATGTAAAAAACAATAATCCATGGACCTTTGCAGAACGTTTTTGTCAAATGTGTTTTGAAACCCATTAATGGACAAATAATTGGAAGGAAAGACAGAAGGTGAACTAGAGAAACATATCTGCTTCTTCATGCAAATACAGACCTGCTGAATGGAAGACAGATTCCTGCTCAGTGTCAGACTCTTGCTTAAATAAACTGTTGTTACCACATGACACAAAATGATTTCGGTGTGAGTAACTGGAGACTCATTAGCTCACCCTGACATCCATGCTGACAAAGGCGATTTCCAAACACACCCTACAGAAACACAGTGTTTACGCTGCACTCCAAACCACAGACGCGCCTTCTATCAGGCACTGCGCTGTTTTTTGCCACGGTAGCATACATCCCCCAGCTGCACTCTGAAACCTCACACTACCACACTCATGGACGCCATCTCAATATTTCATGGACAAGGTGCGTTGAAGCCGCCTGGGCTGAAGATATCTGCCCTGTGCTATCTACATTATTCACTCCCATCTCTTGCGACTGGGTTCATTTGTGTTGACAAAGGACTGGATGGGAGATTGTGATTCGGTCTGTACCGCTCAGATTCAACTATTTTTAAACCCGGTGTGGATTCTGCGGCGCTGGAATGACATCACTCCTCCATTTCCATGCTGAATCATTGATACAGCACAGGGCTGGAGGTTGACCTCCACCTAAATTTGTTCCCTGCACACATCTATTACACACCCATTGTTCATGTTCAAAATCACTTGGCTAAAATTGGAATCAGACGGTTTGCATGTGGAGAGGAATGTGACATTTTTCACCAAGACATTTAAATGTTATATTTCCCCCTTTAAGTCAGTCTTGCAGGTTGATCACACTGTGAGAAACATCTGTTCTCTGTCTCCCAGCTGACGTTTACGTTGCCACCAGACATGATTTAAATGCTAAAAAGGAGAAAAAGAACAACAATGTACTGCTGCTTAGAAAGTGAAAATGTTAAGTACTCATGAAAACAGTACACCCGCCTTTAGTATAAGCTGCTGCATACAGCGTGTCTTGATACATGTAAGTTCTGCTCTTTCATGCTGGAGATATATGTAAGATGAGGGTCTGTGAACATCCATTCAACCTGCTTTAGAGCCATTTACAGGGTGACAGCTGCCACAGGTTAATCTGCAGCTGTCACCCTCAGCAGAGACTCCAGTCTACAGCGTAGCTACACACACTTCACTGATAAACCACATTATTACACAGAATAATTACCAAATAAAACATCTACCCATAAGCACTCCCGCGCTCTCTCTCACTTGACCTCACACATGCTTTCCTTCTCTCTTCTTCCCTCCCTCCCTCCCTCTCTTCATCTCTCTCCGTTGCTTCTTTGTTTAGGGAAGTGGGTTAAATGAGGTTTAAATGTCAATATGGTTCAATTAATTTCCATCTCTTATTGGTTAACAAATTACGGCTGCAATTAATAATTATTTTCATCATTTATTTATCTGCATTATTTTCTCAATTAATTGAATAATTGTTTGGTCAATGACATGTTAGAAAATAGGGTGAAATACAGATCAAAACTGCTTGTTCTCTCTGACCACTCGCCTAAAACCCAAAGATATTCAGTTTAGAATAATAAAAGATTCTGTTCATGATTGACTTATACTGCAATTTTTTAAGGTGTAGAGTTTCAGCCCTACACCAAAGTCAGCGGGGGGTAGCGTCTGATTCAAGTCCGAACGTGGCCAGAAGACAGCTCGTGATGGAGGGTTGCCTGAGACATGTCGATACATTCAGCTGAACCGCCAGTGCAGCTTTGACTTAGGTCACAGAGTCTGTTTGATGCAGTAATCTCCTGGTTTCAGAAACCTGGACAAACCGTCAGCCTGATTCTGAGAAACCCTAATATACTAGCTACAGTACACCAATAGAAATTGGGATAGTTTGGGATAGTTTACACAGATCATTGTCTGTCTTGTGCAGGTGTGTCCTCAAGATGACAACAAGTCCTCCAAACCAAACAGCCATAAAGGTCGTCTGTTCCAACCCTCTGATGCGACCTGCTGTTTAGGAGTGTCTCCTGAATTAGTGCTCCTACAGCAGCAGGCATACCAGACTTTGGTTGTCATGGTTAGTGTACCAGCAGCATACTTGACTTTTGTCACCATGGTTACAATAATGAACAGTCATGGCTCGGTTAGGTTTAGGCACAAATACTATTTGGTTAAGTTTAGGAAGTGATTGTGGTTTGGGTTAAATTGACTACTTCCTGAAGATTAGACGATCTTTGTTGTCATGGTTACAATGATAACAATGTGGGAAACGGTCATGGATAAAAGAAACAATACAAGCTGCTAGTGTCACACAGGGATCGAACACCGCTCTCATCCTTCCACCCCAACCTCCTCCTAATGTGGACTGTGTCTCTGTTTTTGTCACCGCACTCTTTTCCCTTTGCTACTGTCATAATTATTACGGCCACTAGATGTCCCATAACAACAAAATGTATAATAACCTGCCGCACAGACGACCAATAGGCTTGTTTTTTTGTTTTGTTTTTTTTTTTTTTTTTTACAGGAGAACAGTCTCCAACTTAAATACAGAAACGACAGACCTCCTGGACACAACAACATCAAAAATGAAACAGCATTGACGGTGATGTTTAGAAACCTGGATGAGTCTTGTATAGAGAGAGATGAATAATCAAATGTGAACATTACTCCATATACAGTAATATTCACACTAGGAGGGGACTCTGGGGAAAACCACTGGGATACTAGTGAGAAATTCAACTGTGATTTGAGACTACTGAAAAGTATCCTCCCTGAATATTTTACATGCAGTGATGCAACACACATTCACACACTGTATCTGCTATGTCCATGTTGCAGCGATACAATAGTGAAGATGTAAAAGTCACAAAAGGAAAACTCACCAACACACAGTAGGAGCTGCGTGCTCCCTTAAATCAGCCTCCAAAACTATAACTGGACCATCCACTTTGTGGTCTGACCCACTTTAAACCAGATGTTTCTCACAGTGTAGCCTTCTGAGACCTGCAAAGCTAATGGTGCTATAAACTGAATTTCAAAAGAGAGTCTGTGAGTGTGTGATGTCTATATTTTATTGATACCTTGTACAGTTTTTTAGGAAGCTTTGATTAAAATTTATGCTTTCAATCGTCTTCATCTTGGGCAGCTACCTCATTTTAGAACCCACACCTTCATCTCTAAATGTTTATGTGGACTTAATGCTGGAATCTAACACGACTATATCAGTTTCTTAAAGGTCAGGGGAAGCAGAGCTGAAGGTAGAATTGACTGAGCAGCAGAGAGGTACTCCAGCAGAATAAGGATGGCCACTCTGATGCAGATTTTTTTTTTCTGCTCAGTGGGAGTAAAAGCTTCTCCGCTTTCAGGAGAGGAGGAGCGAGGAGCAGCTGGCCTTACCTCCGCCACAGGCACTCCCTCTGGAGGGCGACAGTGCAGAACGATCATCCCATTGATTGGCACCTCCTTCCCCTGGGGGTCCTGCTCAAAGTTTTTCCTCAGGTCTGCGTGGGGAGATAAGAGGCAGCTGTCAGGTGTCGAGTGTTACGGTCAGCCTGGCCTCAATCCTCCTCAGCAGCTAACATGCTGGCGTGCCCTCGGCTCGGCACGCCACGACCTTCAAAACCCACTACAGCCCGTGTAGGATAGAGAGGATCCAATGGCCCTGTGCTGGGTAATCTGTTGACAAGGTGGTTTGGAGGATACACTGGATAGAGGAAGTGAACGAGGATTGCTCTGATCATCCTGGGCATTCATGTGCATACAATAGTGACGGATCCTATTCTGCCCATTTTCAAAACTGCCTTTGATAGCTTACTGCGCCTCCACCATCCGCTGAAAACCTTTAAAATGTCAGCCTTTTCGGAAAGCAGGAATGCGCCTTTTGAAATATCAACATGGCTTATGAATGGGTTTCATGTAGCCTCGGATCATGAGAGATTCCCCGCATATAAGGGATCTGAATACAGGAAAGAAACTCTATAATAGTGTCTCAAAACCTCTGTTCGGCTGGCAGGTAGATAAGTGCAAGTAAGTGCACAATGATATGTAAATCCCACAAGATAAAGATTTTGACATCACATCAGTCCTGTGATTCTTACTTTCTTCCAAGGACAAGAAAAGATGTTTTTGCTTTGTTGATGTTTAAAAGTATGTGATTTCTCTTCGGGGCTGAATCAAACATCAGGTAAGAAAACATACAACACCCCCGAGCAGCAACTGGGATCTTTAGCTATTGGACACCAGTGGCTGTGAATAGCTGACTGTGTCCAAACTCAATTAGACAGCATTTGATTCAGGGAATTGATTATTTCACTGCCAATAAATCTGATAGTGCTTTTGATAAGATTATATCAAACAGTGAAAGGAATAATTAAAGAAATGCCCCGTTGTCCTGTAGCTCCAGTCTGTTAAGGGTTACAGTTGCATGGCAGACATTGTAAATCATTTGTTGGACAGTTTTGGTAACCTGTCATTTTGTATCATCATAACTGTTTTTTTTTTTTGTTTGATTTCAGTGACTAACAGCCAGTCACGCTCTACTTCACTACACTTGGGGGCTTTATTTTTTATTTGCTTTTATCTTTTATTCATTTTTTTTTTTTTTTTTTATTTATCTTCTGCTCTGGTGGTCACAAGAAACAACTTAATCTGAGCAGCAATCAGGTCAATTTTTCATGGTATTTAATTCATATCCAGTGTCATGCATCACTGTCACTTAATCTTAGTCAATTTTGTGTGTGCATCGTAAATAAACAACGGGTGAGTTTAATTGGAAGTGGACTGAGATCTCAGTTGAGTGGTTACATCAACATATTGTGAGGCTGAACAGCTTAAATGACCATTTATTATATTTATTGTTTAAAGGAAGAAAAAGATCACTTAAAGTTAACTGCTTGTTCATGTCAACCAAATTCTTTAAAAGGTCCAATATTTTAAACTTACTTTACAATATATTTGTGGTTTTAAGAACCAAAAACCATCTCAATATAGTTTTACATCTCCTCTCTCAGGCGTCTTTATGGAGCTCTAGTAACAACAGGTCAGTGAGCCAATCAGAAGAGAGAAGGCTCTGATACTCTCTTCCAATTGGCTTTTATTTTCACAGTATTAACATAGAACCTAGACGTGCTTTATGATCAAAAAAGACATCTACTTTTATACAATATGGAACTTTTAAAAGTTACAATTTAATGATTTACACAATAGGATCAAAGACAAAATAATTTCGGTCCCAAACCCTTATTCTGAAACACACCCATCTCATCAGACTCTTTTCTTTTCACTGTTCACTTACATTGTTTTCTTGCTCAGTTGCACGTGTTGCCAAATGCAGCTATAAGAAACCCTGTGACATAGCTGCTACTTTAATGATCATAAAGGTGTCTCAATACTCACAGGCAATGCGGACAGTAGCCTTGCGACTCTTGGAGGTACCCAGGTGGCTCCAGGCGACACAGAGACACCAGTAGTCCTCGGGGCCATGGAAATCCTCCACCTGCTGACGGGACACATTGATCATCACCTCACGAACCTTCAGCCCTGGAACAAGTGAGAAGATCACATCGTTAGCAAAAGTATACACAAAACATGTTTACATGCCCTACAGTTACATACATTGTTGCGTAACACTTCAGTCAGGTTCAGGTTATTTTCAAATGTAATTTGTTAAGTAATGACTCTCTGTCTCTTTAACTTTCTGAGTGTGCCAATCGTCTACAATTCCTACTGGGAAGCACAAAGACAAACTTAGCATAGCAAATACTTCCCAGCTATCACTGTGTAATGGAGGAAATAAAGCTAAACTGTGCAAAAGGGCTGGTTCTTAAAATCCCCAGTATTTCAAGGAAGGCCTTTGCATTGTGAAAATATCCTTGACCTTGCCGTGACACCACGTAAAAACCCTGACAATGTAGAAAATTAAATGTTATATACTATAATACACTATATATATTATATAGTTCTATTCTGGATTGAACTATTAGAACAAAAGGTGATCTTGGTATGAAGCTAGTGTCTCTATAAACTACTTTGTGTTTTGTGTTGCCATTGCCATTTTCTGTAATGGTCTAACATATGTTATTTTTGCTGCAGAGGTCTGCAGCCATGCTAACACATCTTAGTTTAGCATACAAATTTGCCAATTAGCACTAAACCTGAGCTGCAGCTGAGGTTGATGAGAATGCCATTAGTTTTGCAGATATTTGGTTATAAACCAATGTGTTGGATGAAAGTCAAAAGTTCACTAAAGTCATTTTAATTCTCCCCCGTCGGGAACATGAATGTGTGAACCAAATTTCATGGCAAATTATCCATTAGTTATCAAGACATTTTACTGTGAAGCAACAAATGTCAACCCCATAAAAAGGTGCAGGGGGGAGAATTCAGGGGATCATCAAAGTGAGTTTGCATTGACCTCTGGGGAACATGAATGTCTGTATAAAAATGTTGTGCCAATCCATCTGGTAGATGTTGAAATTTTGCAGGCTAATCATGTTGGTGGGGTTACTAGAATTCATCGCCTGGGCATCATAGAGATCTGGATATACAATAGTTGTAGATGTATGTCAGTATAAGCCAGAAGTGTCAACCTGCTGGTGTCACTGCTACTGACCACAGTCTAAGCTTGAATGAATATCTGTACAAAATTTAATCTCAGTCTGTTCAGTACTTACTGTTTAGATATTTGGACCAAAGTGATGGACAGACCAACAAAGAGCCATGTCGCTATCCTGATTAAAAGCATATCTTTGGGTCTTGGGTTGGAATGGGGTTTCAAATTCGGTAGTACCAGTCGAGGTCACTAGGGTCAGGTCTTAAAGATGCATTAACAGGCCAGGTTTAGCTCTCTGTTTTGTGCATGTGTAGAACTACAGTTAAGAGAGAATACTGAAACTGGAAAGCCCTGCATTCTAAATAAAGGTCCTTAAAGTGTCCTCGATCAATACTTCAATACAGGCTTGCATCAGTGATCAATGTGTTTCACGGGATTAGTTATGCATAAGTTCTTAGGAAAGGCTGACACACTTCCTAAATCAGTGCAGCCCCCTCCCCCCACCCCACCCCACCCCCTCTGCTCAGTTCTGAAAGCATCACTAAGGAAATTGGAAGAAACACAGTCCCCCCCCCAGGGTCCTCTACTGTATGTTTTGAGCGCTCGATGCTGCTAACAAGAGGAAAGCCAAATCAGCTGTAGCAGAATTAGCATTAATAATTTGGACTACACTTAACTGCTTCAAACAGCATATGTAGGCTCGCTGTGTAAGCGACACCAGGACAATATACTGTATTATGTAACTCAAAAGGCATGCGAACACAGCACGCTGCACAATGCTCTGATTATACTGAATGCATTAAAGAAGAAGAAGAGGAAAACACTCTGTTTGAAAATCCTCTTAGGCAACACGCTGCAGGACCCCGGTTGGAAATATTCGTCACCCTGTCACATAGCCTCAGATGGGTATACAGAACCCATATTTCATCTGAGTCATCGGCTTAGGGCCTGTCGCATGTGTTTTCTCACCGCTCCTCACAGCCTTTTGCAGCCTGTAGGCCTCATACCCACAACTGGATTAAAAGGCGAGGGATGTGCAATGTGCTCGGGACTGCAAAAAAGACCAATACCCACACACCTCCATAACAAACCACTCCACCCCTGACCACTCTGGCTCTTGTGCATCCACTGTCTCCGATTATGACTCTTTAATCTGACACACTCTTGCTAAAGTCAAACAGCCTCACGCTGCTGCCGCACAGCTTGGGAAGCACAGAGCTGACTTCCAAACGAGTACCGATCCAACCCACGTGAACGGCAGCTGGGCTTCGCCAATGCATCCATGCTGCTGTTCTTGGTAAAATTAAGAAATGGAGAACAAATCCTGGCGGGTAGTCTCCACTGTACTGGGTATAAATGACAACAATAGGGAAGTGGGCTTCTACCTCTTTGTCACACCAAACGTGGCTGACAAGTTGTGAAATGCTGATAAGAATTAGATGGTTTGTGTGAATTTGGTGCACTGCAGTGTATTTGGTGACCATGGTAGTTTAAATCATGATTGACAGGTCTGGAGGGAAAAAAAAAAAGCCACATTTAAGGAGAGAAATAAACAAAGCTGCGGCTCTATGGTTTGTGCTTCCTAGTCGCAGCCCCTGTAGAGACTTCGACACAAGCATAATTCATAATTTTCTCGAGCAGTGGCAGAGAGCTGGAAAGTGACAGTGTATGTGTGGGAAAAGAGACAGCAGAGAAAATAATGACTAATGACTTTCCATGATGCCCTAAAAAGTGTGTGAGCCTGTGGTTTAGAGGGAGAGGGAGAGGGAGAGAGAGAGACAGAGAGAGAGAGAGAGAGAGAGAGAGCGGCAGTAAGCTTTCTCGACAAAGCGACACATTTCCCGGAGTCCAAACCGGCGTCGACAGGTGGTTCGCCGGAGAGACGGAAACGAGTGACGCCACTGTGTCATCTGTCAGCCCTATTTGTTTATACACAGAATACTGTTGACAGGGCTCATTAGAGTAAACCACTTGATCTGTTCTCCTCCCCAATCCCCTGCACACTCTTCGCAGTTTCCTGAGTCACTTGATAAATTCATCCAAATCGGCTGATTCACTCAGAGGGAGACTGGAGAGGTGACTGGAAAAAGGAACTTAGTCTTGACGGTTCTGAGACCCAGTGAGGACGAGGGTGTTGCTGCTGTAGCTTTGCCAGAGTGCAGCTTATTAACTCGACAAGTAGTTTATGTTGCATTAGGATCATTTCTGCTTTAAAAAAGGTTTCGACTTCAGGGGTTTGAGTTCAGAAGAAAGCTTTTGTCTCATGTCATTTTTCTCTCTCTACACATAATCTCTCCTCTGTTCATAAAAGGTAAATTGGGAATAGGGTGCGGTTCCATAGATCAATATTAGACTTTTCAGAAAATGGCAATATGTGCCCAATGTACTGGCAAACCAGAAATAGTGCTCCACTGGCTCTGAAGCAGTGGGAAAGGGGACATCGGGATTAGACTTGAGAGGGCCTGCCCTCATTGTGAAGGCTGATGTTTCATTTAAACATCTGTGTGGATGTCATTGTTGTAATTCACATCTGCATTAACCCCCTTTGAACCCTCTGTTTAAGTCCCATGCTTACATCATTTACAGGCTTATGGCATCGCCACTGCATATCAGTGTTGGTAATGTTATTTGATTGGTGTAATATCTATGTGGGTGGGAACTAAAATTGTTTATTATATCACTTAAACTCCAATGGTCACAAAGGTAGTTAACCAGCCTGGGACTGTTGTTAGCCATTGTTCAGTCCCATCTGTGATTTGAGCTCCCAGTATGTTCCTTTGTGACTTCATGTGTTCAGGGTAACATACAAACTGCTGAGGTCACAGAACTATCCATTGCTGTGAGTTTTGGCACTATATAGACCCCTATGGGCTCAAATTATGGTCAATAATATTTTTGAGCATGTGAAGTGATGTTAACAAATCATTCCAAAGTGTGTACTCTCCGTATGTAGTGTGTAAAAAGAAAAGAAAATGTGTATATGAAGAAAAGATTTGTATTTGTACGAACCTGAATTTCTCATGCAAATTTATTTCACAAGGTTTTCAAAGGTTGATTTACAACAACAGACTCATGAACATAACTGCACAAGCTCAAAATCTAACTGACTCTAATTTGAACCGAAAGACACCCTCCCATCAAAAATGTGTGACTGTGAATGAGCTTGACAATGGCACTCAACAGGTGTTGAAATAACATGAATGAAAATGTGTAAAGTAGCTAGTATGTGGCAACATCTGAAGCTGCGGTTTCACTGCAGTTTTGCACAGAACAATGATTTTTTTTTTTTTTTTTTTAATTTTGATGAAACACAATTGCGAATGGTCTGTGTTTCCATTGAGCGATGTTATGTGAATTCAGCTGAGTTTTCTCCTCTTATGATGTCATTCCAATTAAACATGGCGGAAGATTTCAAGGATCTGCTAACTGTTGGGACTATTGCATCCACGGCAATAGCCATTGTAGTATTTATCCTTTATCAGTGATATTATCATAACTAAATCCCCACAATTACTTTATATTAACTTATCATTTTTTGCAGATAGACATTATTTTAATCTGCAGGTATCAGAGAGTCATTTTCTGTTGCCACCATGTAGAGCTAGTTAAATACAGAGAACGGTTAAATATCAACAATGGTGGCATGAATCACAAAATGGTACACAATATGTTTGTTAAGTTTTCTGAAATGGATACAGGAGCTATTTCATCCCACTTATTAATTTTTTTTATCTTTTTTTTTTCCAATTTAGCGGATTGATTTGTGAAAAGTTTTCTTTTCTCAGTTATTAAAGAAATGAAATTGTTAAATAGAGCTGTTATATGTATTAGATAGGTTTTGAGTCGGTGTCGGTTGTTGTGCATCGTAGCGGTTGTGTTGCGTGTTGTGAGTCTCATTGCGAGAATGAATGATATGGATGGGTACTGATATATCTGTTGTCATTAAAGAATTGTTTATAGATTTAAGGGGACCCCAGGAAGAGTAGCC